CATGATCCCAGGGTCCTGGGATCAAGTCCCGCATCGGGCTCTCTGCTCAGTAGGGAGCCTGCTTCCCTTCCTCTCTCTCTACCTGCCTCTCTGCCTACTTGTGATCTCTGTCTGTCAAATAAATAAAATCTTTTAAAAAAAAAGTTAAAAAAAAAAAGAAAAACCATTTAAGTAATTAAGGAGATTATTAGCAAAGTTGAAAGAAACAATTTATTGGGAATATAGAAGTCCCAAAACTTATGTATCCAACAAAAAAAGCTCATATGGGATATCTAGAAAACTGATTATGAAAGCCATAAAATGGTCAATTAAATGCTAATCACTGAATATACAGTCTATGTGCTCTGAATACAAGGTAGGAACAACAATAAAGGTCATATGGTTTGTCTTTGGGAGAATAAACACTCTAAATTGAGGAGTCAAAATAATAATTGCATCATTTATTAAATCATTATTTTCCTCTTTCTAAAGCTGTTATAGATACACAGGTATATGCATTGTTTCTTATGTTGTAAATATTCTTTTGTGTATATGCGATAATTAATACACTTTAGTGAACTATATATTCAACTCAGTATGTTAGAAAAGTAGCTTCAGGAAAAATACAAAGAGGACAGAAGATGAATCTGAATAAGAAAAAAAATAAAATAGAAAACAATGTGGAGTCAACAAACACCAGAGACATCTCTTAGAGTACTGACCAGAAGACAGAAAGAAACAAAGACAGACAGACAGACACATAAGATGAAAACAGCACAAACTTAAATCATGAACAATTTGTTGGAATTTGAAATTTCAGGAAAAAAAAAAAACAATGTTCTGGAAAAAAATATGAATGATCAAAATGGACTCAAAAGCAAATATTTAAAGAATATGGATGGGATCATTAAATTATTTGAGAGTAGTCAAATAACCACCCTCAAAAAAATAACAAGATGGTTTTAGAGATAAGTTTACTCATCTTTCAAGGCATAGCAACAATTTGTTTTACACAAATTATTCCAGTGAAGTGATAAAAAGGACAGTTTCCCAACTTATTTTAACTAGTTAACTGATGCCAAAATTGCTCAAAGACACAGGAAACCACAGGCCATGGGTGCAAAATCTTACATAATTACAAGGCCAAGAGTTTCAGTAACTTGCCCAAGTTCCCACAACTAGTCAACGGTGAAGCTGGACCTACATCTATCTCAAGCCACAGACTGTGCTCTTGAAGGAGGATAGAAACGGGACCAAGAACAATACTCGCAAGCAAGACAACAGTATTTACATGTGTGGATAGATGGATCCCCCACCAGTACACACTGAAAGTTGACCCTCAGCGGCAAAGGGGGCAGGGAGGCCCTGGACTCAGCCCCTGCTCTGGATACCCCATTGCGACTCCCTCCCCCAACTTCTCTTGACTACCACCTTCTCTGTTTGGGGAGACACGTTCCTTTTTGATTCTCACAAACTGTGAGATAAGCATTATTATTTTCATTTTACAGATGAGGTGAACAAGTCTCAGGGACGCAAAAAGTATTGAAAAGAAATGACTTCTCAAAGGTAATAAGAGGTAGAGCCAAAATTCAGATTCAAGCCCTTATCACCTTAACTCTCAGTTATGTGGTTTGACATAGTTCCTGCTCCTGAAGAGACGTCCAGACTATCTGCATATTGTGAGCCTGCAGCTTCCTGACCGAACCCCAGGCACCAGACAGGTGTGCTGACCTGCTTCCTGCTTCCAGGTCACCTTTCTAGGATTATGCGAGGAACAGGGCCCAGGTCTGATCTAATGATTCCCATACATAGTTCTTGAAAGTCCCTTTCATCAGGCCTGATCCTGATCTCGCTACTGGAAGGAGGACCTCTACTCTCCTTGACAAACCAAACTTGATTGAGAATTGACACTTCCTGGAAGCAAGCCATTAGACCACCCCCTCGTGGTAGTTAGATATGAATTAGCTATATAGAATAAATGGGGTTCTAGAATCCCTTTCAGTCTTGGTGATTTGCATTCCTCACTCTACTTGAGTTTCCCATAACCTTCATCTGACACTGTCAGTTTAAATACTCCCACATTAGAAGCTTCCATTATGACCTGTAACAATATGGCATGCAAAACATATTAGCTCAGCTCCCCTATGACCATATTACAAGCCTCATGATGGCAGGGATTTATAGCAGGGTTGTTCAAGGTCTCATTTCCAGAATCTGAAACAATGCCTGACACAGTATACACTCAGTTTATATCTGACTTACTAAACAGTTCTACTTGGATTGCCCCCTCTGTTGGGGGCTACATGTAGGAAACTATCACTCCGTGACAACAAGCCCAAAGCTGGATAGTACAGTGTCAGGAAGACTACTATTATATGGAGACTAGATCATTACCCCTTCCTGAGCTATTAGGCCAGATAGAAATGTTCAGAAACTATGGTCCTTAGGGGCTCTTTAGACTGAGATTTCCGATCAGCCCCAGTAGCTCCTGGTGGGTGAGGTGGAACTGGTGATGGCTGGGCTACCTGGCGTGCTTCCCCCACTGTTCACAGAGCATTACTGGAGGTGGTGTCGGCTAGCCCACTGTCACCTTACATCAGACTTTAGAGCCCTGCCCTGCTGTGCAAGAGCTGACTGGACGTTTTACCATATATCTCTTTAATTAAAATAGATCTGCTACCATTTGATATTTTCCACATGGCCAAGCCGTTTTCCTTCATGTAAAGACACACATTTCATGCTTTCACATTGAGGGTGCCTGAGAAGACTTCCAGCATGGAAAAGTGGACATTATTTGCTTCAGCATTTGCGTTAGTTGTCCATGTAATGACTTAATGTGACAGCTTGTCAACAGTGACATTTAATATGCCCGTTGTGCAGAAGTCATCTTTCATTTACTTTTTGAGACATGGGCCCCAGGGAAATGGGCTTTATGAATTTTAGAGGGAACTGATGGACTCCATTTATCCACCCAACACCCACACAGAAAAGTCTTTTACATAGGTCTTCTGAAACTAAAGAAATACTATGTATTTTTAAGTGGATGAAAAGTAGATCGATAACTAATTTAACCATAAAGCGAGGGTATGCTCCCTGTTCAGGGCCTCAGAAAATGGAGTAGCATTCTCATTTCCATCTCCTTTCTATTAACTTTTCAGAGGAATGAGTATTTGTGCCTCAGACCAAACACCGTATTTTATTTTATTTTTTTTTTAAAAGGAGTAGTATAGGAGTTTAATCATAAAAACCTTCAACCCTGATTACTCCCTCAAAAGAAAAGATGAGATACTTGAAGAATAGGCAAACATTATGGGGGTTTCTCATACGCCAGAGGATGTTTAATTTCTCTTGTATCCAAGCTTTACTCAAATAGTACATAGCGGGCGCCTGGGTGGCTAAGTGGGTTAAGCCGCTGCCTTCGGCTCAGGTCATGATCTCAGGGTCCTGGGATCGAGTCCCGCATCGGGCTCTCTGCTCAGCAGGGAACCTGCTTCCCTCTCTCTCTATCTCTCTCTCTGCCTGCCTCTCTTTCTACTTGTGATCTCCCTCTGTCAAATAAATAAATAAAATCTTAAAAAAAAAAAATAGTACATAGCATCGTAAAGCTACTAGATAAGGATAAGACCCTTGGGAAAGCAGCCACGTATTTTAATCCTTGGGTACAACAGAAAATGTTTTAACTTGCTGTAGCACCCAGATATTCAGATGGGCATATACTGTAGCATGGATGTGCATGGGGAGTTGGGGGACTTTGCTAACAGAGACCTAGGAAAGGTTGGCTTTTGGGTGGAAGAAGACAATGACAGGAAGAAGAAAATATGAAATATACATATAAATAATGGTGTTAAATTCCAAGTGTATGGAAATTTAAAGTAAGTATTATTACTGGCAAATTTTTATTCTACAGGAAAGATAAAGCCACTAAAATTGGGAGAGGTAGAGTATATATGAGTTCTCCTAAGGGAGGACACATAACTTGTCTCTAATAGTAGCTCAGTAGAGTGGCTGGGCAGGAAGGAGTTACCAGGGCACAATATCCACTGCATATTAGAATGGCCTGATTATTTGTTTTCTTTTCTTTTTTTTAACCCTTGTACCCAGACTATATCTGAAGCCAATTAAATCAGAATCACTAGGAGTGAGACCCAGGCATCTGCATGGTTTAGAGCTCTCACAGGTGATTGTAATGAGCCAAATTTAAGAATCCCTGACCTAGATATCTGCAGCCTACTTGTATTTTCTAATCATGTTGGTTCTTTCAAAGTATCTACCTCACACCAGACTAAGCAGAGGGATCAAAGTATTTACGAAGAAAAACAAACAAGATATGGTGTTACACTTAAGAATATCAGCCTCTAAAGGAAAGGTTTATGCAAAATAACAAAATTAATTGTTTACAAAAATAATAAAACCAGCACCTTGCATTTATTCTTTTCTACTATACTCTAAGCTATGCCGAGTGTCAAACACATTTCCCCTCCCTTCATAATTTGTTTTATTACCTCACTAGACAGATGAGAGAAATCAGACTCAGAGAAATTAGAAAATTTGCGAGGTAGAACAATGCTAGTTTTAACTGTACAGATGGGATTCGCCCCGAGCAACCTTCATTCATACTACACTATAGAGGTCATGATTAAAGGCTAGAAGAGCCCAGAGGAGGAAACTTAAAATTCAGTCAGAAGAGGAGGAAGACATCTGGGGTCAGCCCCAGAAAGGAGGCAAAATTTGAACCTTACGAACACATAGTAGGACTTTTCTCAGGGGGAGAATTGCAGATAAAATGTGTGAGGATGGACTAGCATTTGTAAAGATGGATAGGCACATGGATATTAGATCAGCAGAGGATCATCTGTACAATAGTGAAGCTGAGTTCCTGAGGAAATTTGTTTAGGGTCAGACTTTCCCCATGTTCCCAGTTATTTCTGGAATTTTGGGATCAACATCACAACTGAATGGCTTGATCAGAATCACTCTCCACTGGACTATGATCAATACATAGTAGTTGACTCTGCACCTACCAGTTCCTCATTGTTTAGTGATGTCCTAATCACCATAGCCAGGGAGAGTCCAGATTTCCGGGCAGCCAGAGTCTAAAATAAACAGAATTAGGAGTTATTGGCACACGATGTGGCTGCCATGAACACATGGCTCAGCAGCATGTGAAAAAGTAAGAATACAGACGATCATTGCTCATGTTTTAGCCAACAGGGACCTGCCACTTTGAATAGTCGGCAAGTTCATCCAGAATGTGGAATCGTGGAACATCAAAGCTGAAAAAGTCCCTTTCTATTGTTGAACCCAACCTCTACACTTTGCAGATGACAAAATTGAGGCCCAGAAAGGCAGGATGATCAGCTCCAAGTTTCCAGGCTAACAAGAGGCTTCTATAACTTTGTTTTTCCCCAGGTGATCATGATCACATTCCTTCATAAAACATGGTCACGGGTACAGAGCCACAGGCTCTGTGTGATGGCTGTGAAGCACAACTGAGGTTAGATGATTCTTGAATTGTTCACAATTCCCCAGAATATTCTTTCATCTCTAACCAGGATATTTTTTCTAAGTGTTCACTTTATCAACTGAAAAGCATTATACCCAGATTGGTTTTCTTAATGCAATGCTGCTAAATACAGTGATTTTAATTAAAAATCCCTTTAGTTCCCCCACCATAAAATAGAACCATTATGTTGCTCCTACTTGAAACGGGTGTGATATAATGCACTCATCAGTGCTGTTAAGAACTTTGGAATCAGAAGTTTTACATGGGAATGTTCAGTATGTTATTCCACTAGGAGCAAAGGGAAGTCATAGTGGTATTCTGTACCCGGTCTTAAATCTATCTCCGTGGAGGACAAAGCCATAAACTTAGATAAAACTTCAGCACAGTGCTGAGTGAGGGAGTCACTGTCCACTCATCTCCACCCTGACTGTATAAACCTATATAGGGATTACCTCTCCAAGGACTTACCCAAGACGATCTTCCAACTCTGACAACTATTATCCTTAAAATTATGTCTGTATTCTATTTTAGTCTTTTTTGACACCTGTCGTATATATAATTTGGTGTATCTTTCAGAATTGAACTAGAGGTTAAATACTTGGAGAAACTAAATTTCTTATTCCTATGTCTCTTTTTTACTTCCCCATCTTGCCCTCTTTTATCCCAAGAATAAGTGCAGTGTATATTAAATATGAAAAATATTAAATTAAAAATCACTTACCATAGCCTGAAGGTTCCAAGTTTCAGAGCAAACAAAGCATAAAAAATTAGAAATAAGAAATGTGAGAAGAGTATAATGATGTTAAAATAAACTTAACACTTTAAAATAATGTTCGCACTATAGTGACAGAAATATGAGCTGTACAGACAAGTCATGCTTTTCAGTATAATATCTTTCCAATCAAGATTTTACCTTTCCTAATTTAAAGCCAAAGTGGTGGTTTTCACATGATGGTTTTCATAGCAAAATTAAAAATTGCTGATATAAGATATTGTGTACAATGTTGCAAAAAGGAAATTTCTATTTCTCTTGGATAAAACAAATTTTTGTGTCATAAACTACTAAGAATATGCTTCCAGAAAAAAACGTGAAGACAATTGAGATAATATAAAACATGCTGGTAGGGGATTTGTTTTTAGAATCTAATGCACACCATTATAAATTCTTTGCATCTTCATGCGGTCCGTGTGTATTTTGTTATAGGAGAGTTTGAGTTATTGAAAGTTATGTTCTGGCTTTATAAAGTTTTAAATAACTTGGGAGCCATAGATTTCCTTAGACAGTGGAATCACTTATTAATGTGATTAGATTTTAAGAAAATAAAGAATTGGTTAATATTATCTGCTGTTTTTTAAAGTAGAAAAATTCACTGGGTTAAGGTGAGGAAGTCAATCAAGACTGAAAGTGTGCCTTAAGCTTGTGGTCATTTGCAACATTGTATGTATCAGAGCCCAGCTGCAGCAGCTCACTTGGCATGCTGTGTGACTTTCTGCTCAATTATAGTGTCATTTTAGCTCAGTTTGTAATTTCAACCAATATAAAAAGCTGTCAAGGCGCGTCTGTCTGGCTCTGTAGGTAGAGCATGCAACTCTTGATTTTGGGGTCATAAGTTCAAGTCCCACAATGGGGGCGGAGGTGGGGGCGGTGGGAAGCTTAAAAAAAAAAAAAAAAAAAAGCTGTCAAAAGGTTGGAGTTATCTCATTCATCTAAAAGATTTTAAAGAAATGATAAATGCAATCCTTGGTAGAATCCAGCATCTTATATATTTTATTCTATGAAATACAGTCAAGGCACTTAATGAGAAGGCCAAAACGACAGCTAATGAAGAAAATGGGGACACATGCAATCAGACAATGAAACAGGAGTGACTTACCACATCTCGCACAATAGGCAGAGTTTTTTTCCTGCGGAGATCTGGCATACTGTCAATGCCATAAAGTCCTCGGCCAGCCCTGAAAGGAAAAACAGGAATGATTCCAATGGGAAACAGACTTCCTTTAAGGGGGGGGAAAAAACATACAAAAAAAACCCCATTCATGGTAAAAAGGCTGTGAAAAAGATGAAATGTATACCATGCTTTTCAACTGGTTCACAAAATAAGAACTATCCAGCCTCTAAGACTTCACCCAGGGAGAAGGAGAAAGACTGTAGCTACCAAAGTGCTCACTTGTATTCTTGGATAGTTCTATACATTAAAACTTTAAAATATCCCTGACTTGGTTTGATACACAGTTTTTCTGTCAATATCACAGAGAACATTTTAAAAAATGGTTTCTTATATGAAACTTTGTATCTCCAGGAAGAGACAGAACCAAACTATGGTCAGTGTAAGGTGTAAATTTGGTCCTCAATAGTAAAATAGTTACCTGTATTTGTAAAAGTATCATTCTTTTTTGATGTGTTGCATTTTCACAGATTAAACCCCAAGATGGTATCCCAAAGAGTCATAGCTGCATGTAAAATATATGTGGTAACCCTTATAGCAGAATTTTCACTTCTTGAATTTATCCCATGGAAAAATGCCAGTAAGAGATTGATTTATTGTACAAGGATACTCACTGTGACATTTATTTTTGTAATAGCAATAAAAGTTGGGTAACCTAAATATTTATTGAATGAATTATATTATCCAATGGAAGGAACATAATAATCAAAGTAAATGAGTTAAATATATATGTGTATAAATGCCAAATATTCTCAGTATGTTAAATGAAAAAAAAAAACAAAAACAAAAACATAAAACCAAGTTTGCCTATTAGTAAATTTAATAGAATACCGTGTGTGTGTGTGTTTACATATGTACAGAAAATATCTAGAATGATATTTATTAAATTGATAACCAGAATTACCTTTGTGGACTGATACTGGGTGGGAAAAAAAAAAAAAAGGGAGGAGTCTCACTACTTTATAAATTCAGTAATAGCCAACTGTTTTTCTACTAAGCATCGCTGTTTCTGCAATTTAAAATAATCTTAAAATATATTTATCTTTATTAAAATGAGTTCAATACATTGCATTTGATTTTCGCTGGATTTGAGCTAGTCATTTCATATCACCAAAAAGGTGCTCAAGTCACTGATGAACAGCTTCTCCTATGCTTATCTGACCTACAAAACTCCTGCTTAACTCTGGCTTAGTGTCAACCTTTTTCACTAGGAACACACAATTGAAAGGCTGGGGTATTAGGTAGACAGCTCTGCTACTGTACAGGCCACAACAGCATCTCACAGTCCAGTTTTTCTGTGACACAGAGATGGCCCCTTTGCTCCTGCTGCTTAGCTTAATTAAGGAGCAGTTTTGCCTTATTGGATTTTTCTTAGTAGCCATGGTCTTAACTCTAATACTTCTAGTTGCATCAATCACTAGCTTGATGATCTTGAATAACTCACTAAATTATCATACAACTCATGTGAAATAATAGAAGTATTAATAAGGATAGAATGATAATAAATAGTAGTATTATGACATGCATGACTCAAAGTGAAGATCAAATCCAGTAATACATGTGAAATAGGAAAACCACTGCACATGTGTAAGAAGGATGTTAATGGTCAACAAATTATACTTCAGTTCATGAATTTCAACAAGAAGTTATCTTTAGGTTAGCTCATAGAACACAGGAAAAGGGTAACAGTGGGGCAGAGAGCGGTGCCTGTGTGGCTCAGTGGGTTAAGCCTCTGCCTTCGGCTCAGGTTGTGGTCCCAGGGTCCTGGGAATCGAGCCCCACATCAGGCTCTCTGCTCAGCAGGGAGCCTGCTTCCCCCTCTCTCTCTGCCTGCCTCTCTGCCTCCTTGTGATCTCTCTCTCTCGCTCTTTCTCTCTCTGTCAAATAAATAAATAAAATCTTTAAAAAAAAAAAGAAAAAAACAGTGGGGCAGAGATCAAGACAGATGAGAGAAGAGCAACAGAAGAAACAACGGGAGGGGAGATAGCACGGGTGCAAATATGTGTGGTACAGATGACACTTGAGATCCTGTCTACAATAGACTCTACAAGAGTTCACACAGCCTCCATCATTATCCAGAATAAAGCCAACTGACACTCTCTGGGCCAGTGGCAGAGGTAGTCACGATAACAGTCAAATATCAAGACTGAGATCACAAAAAACAATCATTAGCAGTATGCCCTTACGAACTATAAGAAATACCAACATCAAGTAGGGGGAAAGGGAAACTAACTCTTTTTTTCAACACCCATTTTAAGAACGTGAGCCAGCTACTCCAACAGTGTAACTTCTTGCTTTCCTCCTATTCTCTTTCCATAGTTTTTCCCTCTCCCTGCCAGTTCATGCTTGATTCTGCTGCATCCCAAACATCACATTCATGGGAAAAGGACTATGCTAGTGGGTTTCTAGAAGGACCTTTTGAGTTTCATTTGCTCCAATATTCTGATTCCACGTGGTTTCTTGTGAAGAAAATTAATAATGATATAAAGTGTAATTAATAAATGTCTTTCCACCACTACATGGCAATCATATTAACTAGCTGCCTTCGAGTTTTCTGGAATGTTCTGACTGCTAAATAATGTGACTTTAATAACTATGTAAAAAAAAACAATATTCAGTTGTGGTAATGGTTGACAAAGTGATTTATAAACTACAAAATGTAATATATAGATGGGTCACTTTCTTTAATGATTTGTTTTCCCTCTCACAAACTTAATTCAAATTCCTAAGAGCACCTAGAATTTTGAGCAAACTTACACACTCACTAATTCAGGAATCCATTACACACACATATTTTCTTGGGTCTTACACTTTACTCCTTAGCTTGTTTCATCAGAACAGAGAAAGCCAAGGACCCAGGCCAAACCTGAGCATTATAGAATAATGACCCCAAGTTAGAAGACCTGTATCCAAAATTTATCTCTGTCCTGAGTCTGTCGTCAATTTCACAAAACCCATATTTTGTAATTTGTAAAACTGCTATGCAATAAAAATATTCTCTTAATCTTCACAGCCTTAAAAATATTCAAAATCATGTTGTGTTTCCTTATACTTTTACCTTTTCATTATTACTATAAGACATTTGTATAAACATATACTTTCATTTGCTTATTCCTCAAGTAATAGTAAAACTTTCATTGCAGATCTGAGCTTTAGAAAATGTTTCCCTAATGGCCTTACCTCAAGAGTGGAGAAGTGCTTGGTTAATACTATAGAGGTCCATACAACTGCAAAACATTTTTTAATATTTATTGAAAGTGTTCCTAACCAAGAGACATCTGGGAGAGATTAAATTAAAAAATGGTGAAGACCAGAAGTATTGATAAATAAGTCTTTGACCTTCTGGGCAAGAAGTCAAGTTCAAGGAGATCAGTTGAAATCTAGAAGAAACTAGCTAGGCTCAGGGATAAAGAGCTCAGGGAGAGTCATCAAGATAGGCAACAGCAGACAAGAAACTCCAGGGGTGAGATCTGATTCTAGGGAAGAAGCAGTCTGATTTCAGTCCTTTTTGGTATAACTGATTTGACTAAAAGCCGTTGCTAACCACCCACAGCAAACTAGCTAACAATCAATATTTATTTGGTACTTACCAGGAGCCAGATGTAATGCTAACAAATAGAATCAAACTTTACATATAGTCCTCATTTTATTCTCAAAAAAAAAAAAAATCAGTAAAGTAGAGGCACAATTATTCAAGGAGGAAATGGATGAATGAATTGTTTAGAATCATTCTTATAATTAGTCTAAATCATAGATAGCAGTGTCTGGATTTGAACCCAAACTCTAGGGCTTATCATACCCTACTGCTTATACGATTAGATCATTTCATATTTAGAACAATAATATGAACCGAGGATTATAATTAATCCTTCCTATTTTACTTTTAATGAAACAAAAGCAACTTACCCAGGCCTAGAAATGTATGGCAGGGCTTGATTTGCACTGAAAGACAGTCTTACCTGAAACCCCATGTTTCATTCATTCTTCCTAAAAAAGGAAAAATGTATGTATGTGTGCCTAGTATGTGTGTGTAAGTGTATATGTGTATGTACATATGTGTATACACATGTGTGTACACATGTATGTATATGTGTATGTATGTACATATGCATGTGTATGTACACATATATGCATGTATAAACAGACATGTAATAGGCAGACATACATACATTTTTTCCTTTCTTAGGAAGATATAAAATGTCTATCCCAGTTACTCTAGAGTTGTTACCATTATTTGAAATGCTTTCACTGTATTCCAAGACACTATTATCTTCATATCAGAAACACTGTATCACTGAATAAAACAGTTCCAATCCTCCCCAAGCAGTTCCTCTTCAACTGTTTAAGAGTTCTCCCTAGGGAAAAAGAGTTCTCCTTAGACCATAGGCATTACAAATGAGATGAAAACATCAAATCTACAGAAATATTTGGAAAGTCAATCATCAAATAAAACTGAGAAAATGGGTGCCTCGGTGGCTAAGTCAGTTAAGCATCTGACTCTTGATCTCAGCTCAGGTCTTGATCTCCAGGCTGTGAGTTCAAGTCCTATGTTAGGCTCTATGCCTATTTTAAGTGAAGCACACTTTAAGTAAATAAATAAATAGGGTAAAATTTAAAGAATGACAAAATGGATACAATTTAATAAATTGTGATATATTCTAGTTCATTATGTCTTATATTACATAGTTCATATTTTTCATACTTTTATTTCTTAGTCCTTTGGATAATTAAAAGTTTGCTGAGTTTAATAAAATTGAAGATTTTACCTTGACTCATTCAGTTAACCATCTTGTTATAGAACACAACACAAATTATCTAAAAGATATATAATCTGTAACTGTTAAACAATCTGATATCTAAGGTAGAAGATGTAAGGTTTATTTTAATATATGAATAATTATCTTAATCCAAAATTGGTGATAATACACTGACTATACATTGATTGGAAAAGAACTGTGAGAAGTGTGCTGTTTCCATAAGTGTGTAGCTCATGGTTAATTGGCAATA